AACTGCCCCATATGGTTTCTAAGGCGTGCCTGGTGGATTCGAACTGCCGACCTTTGGTTAGCAGCTGTAGCTCTTAACCACTATGCCACCAGGGTTTCTGAAGAGATTAGGGAGGCAATATTTCCAGGGAGGTAAGAGTCCCTGGAAGGTACAAATGGTTAAGCGCTTGACTACTAGCCAAAAGGTTGGCGGTTGGAACCCACCCAGAGGCTCCTCAGAAGACAGGCCTGGTTATCTGGTTCTGAGAGGTCAGTGCCTTGAAAACCCTAAGGAGCAATTCTACTCTGCACACGTCGCCATGAGTTGGCATCGACTTGATGGCAACCAACAACACAACACTGACATTATCTACAAATGGTCAAATGCTAGTAAAATATGTTCGGTACATCTCCCCTTGCTTTAGCTCTTCCAAATCTTCTAAGGGCTGATTTAGTTCAGGAGGCCCCTTTTTTTTCTTCCCACGTTTCACTGCTTTGATTCTTTCCTAATGCTTTCAGACAGCAGAACTCATGTCCCAGTTTAAGGGTTTGTTGTGGGAACCTGCAATGGCTGTCAGGAGCAGTGACCTCGACTTTTTGCTTAAATGTCATCATGCTTGGAGGCCCATACTTGGATTTAAAAAAACAAACAAAATCACCACAATCCTGCAACTTATCATTTTGTGGTCATTTCAGATCCATGAATTCTACAAGGAGGCAAAGTGTATAGTCCTTGGCACAGAGTTAATTTTCATTTACAGGGGCGATGCTTCCCCTTCTCCCTCCTTTTCTTAGATACATTGCCTCTTCTCTGATACTCTGCTTTCGGAATTTTGGAGTATCAGGTCTCCAATGTATAATTCACTGATAATATGGTCAAATAAATTTGGAAAAACCTCAACAAACCATTTATTATAAGCAATCAACTCTGGTCATAAAAAGTCAGGTAAGTACTCAACTACCCCCATATAGGCAGGATTTGTATAGCTTTTCCTCTTCTCTACTGGCCATAAAATTTGCTACTATGAGTTTGATCTTGAAGAAATCAGGTCAAACCAAATTAGGCTTCCAAATCACAAACTCATTAGGTTGTATCAGTTTAATACTCATTAAATAAAGTTCACAAGAAGCCTTCTGTGTTTTATTCAAACAGTTAAAAATAAGGCAGCTGAATCTTCTAATCTCCATATCAAAACCTTACATATATGTATGTAAGGGGATAAATACATATATATATTTATGTATGTATGTATTGGTATACATACACACACACAATAAAAATGTTGATCTGAGAGCTGTTACTGGGAACAAGGTGGCTAGATACCATGAAAACAAAGATACTGAGGAAAGAAAACAGGAAAAAGAGATGCAGTTCATTCAGGGCTAACCTAAAGCTACACAGAAATACAAAGCAGCAACTGGACAGCACCACAAGGCTTGTGCCTCCAACTGTCTACTCTTATCAGCCTCAAATTTCCACTATTGAAGTCACTAACAGATTAGATAACAAGGGCTGGTGACTTCTTCTCTCAAATCCCTTACTTAAAATGCATAAGTTGCCTGGAATGGGTTTTCTACCCATCATTAGCATGATAGCAGGGATTAGTTTATTAGATTAGTGAATTAATCTGATATCTCAGTGCACAAAGGAAAAAAAAAAACATAGTACGGATTAATTTCAGAGGCAAGAAGTATGACAGTGATGGAGTGGGAAATAAGCAGAATAAGATGATGAGGGGCTAAGGTTTGTGAGTGCTTCAAGAGGCATACTTTTATCTAGAGAGCAAATTCAAAATTTTAGACGTTTTGATGTGATAAAAGATTCTTCAGTAATACTTCCCTTACAGTTTGATAATCACACATACATACACAAAATACCTCACCCTGTTACTAAGCCAAGAAAAGACATTAACTATAATTCATTCTTTCTGTGACAATTATATGTCTATGCAACATTAGGTCATCTCTCTGATGTCAATTCTCTGCCCTGATTGATTCTGGGACAACAGGCAACCTGATACTTAAAATCAAGAAAGCTCAACCTCAGCTATAGCACTGACCTCTGGGGCTGCAACTTCCTCTTTCCAGCACCATCCTCAGATTACTGACTCTTTTCAGTTTAGGCAGAAGCTATCTCCCTGGGTGGCTTATTTCTGACGAAGATCAACTATTTTTTCGCTTTAGTAGAATATTCTCATCTGTGTCGAATTCCCTAATAAGGTCAGTAAGTTCAGGGTGAACAACTGAGTGCTGAAAGCCCAGGAAAATGGACTGGAAGAGAGAAGGATGTTCTGTTGCTTCTTTACACAGAGCTCTCCTTACACTGAGGCATGCATGCCAGGCACTGGCCTACGTGGTGTGATTTCAGAGGCACCAAGTTGGTCATCCGTGGTTTATCAAAATACTGGAGAGAAAGTGGAGAAGAGAGGGGGAAACAATGGGCAGGAAGTAGAGGCTGAAGGCCACAAAGACAAACCCTGACTGGAGAGAGTCCTGCTAATCAGACTTGCCTGAAATGGAAAGCACTGTAGCCAGGTTCTTCGAAAGGCCAGCTTGGGCTTTGCCAATAGCATTAAATTCTTAGTGAATTTCCATCTCATTGACCCAGAGAGCCTCAAGCTCTGAGATCAATTCTTTAGTAACCAGGTTGGTGCCAGACAGTACTGGATAGGAGCTTAATTCCAACTGAAATAAAACCTAAGGAACCTTTTTTGATAACCCCTGGTCCTGTTTACAATTTTACTCTCTGCCATTAAGTGTAATATGATGATCCCTCAGCAGCCGTGAGTGTTATTCAATCACAGGGAACAGACTATACAGTATTTGAAGTTAGAAGTGTTTGCTCTTCTAGTCCTAATGCATCAGGTCTGTTGCAGCAATACTTCTAGTTCATAAACAATGTTGAGAAAGTAAGCCTGCAGAGCCATGAGATGGCTTCATAAATATTTTCTCCATGGGGAGCTCCTGAGGGTTTCAACTGTTGGACACTGTTAATTCAGTGGTAGTCTGGCTGTCCTGAATCCTTTGAGATGTCCCAGGATGGGAGAGCAGGTCAGCTAGCAGAGTCTCTCTGGGTACCGATCTCAAAGAATTTATTAGGCAATAAACACGGGTCCCTGTTTCTTAAATATGTGGTTATTAACTCTATGTATTTAAGCAAAGGCAGCAGTACTAGTGGGATTTATAGTAAAACCCTCTTAGGAACACCATACAATTCATATAAGAGACACAGATTCATTTTTGTTTGGTTTGGTTTTGAATCTTATGCCCCAAAATGTTAATGGAAAACGACTGTCGCTGCCTGCCCAATTAGTCACAGGATTCAGATAAGGTATACCTGAAGTGTCTGTTTCTGCAAAGTGAGAGGAAGAAAAAGAACGTTCCCTCAACAATTCCTATGTGTACTCTATACTATTCTAGGCATTATACTACACAACCCCACTTAACTTTCAACAACTCCAGGAAGAAGGCATTATTAGCTCCTTTATATAGATAAGAAAACCAAGTCTCAGAAACATTATGTAACTTTCCAAACGTCACATTTAGTTCCTAGAAGAGGTAGGACTTATATATAGGTAATCTGACTCAAAACTTTTTCCACTATAGCATGTTTCTTTAAAAAAGTTACCCTTGGAAACCCTGGTGATGTAGTGGTTAACAGTTTGGCTGCTAACCAAAAGGCTGGCAGTTCGAATCCATCAGGCGCTCCTTGGAAACCCTATGGGGCAGTTCTACTCTGTCACACAGGGTTGCTATGAGTTGGAATCGACTTGACGGCAATGAGTTTTTTTTCAGGGAAAATGCCACAAAATCTACTGCCTGGCTTAATATCTTCTTAAGAATCTAGAACAAATTTTCTAATGAATCAGCATGAAGTAGGCTGAGCAGAATGTCCACAAGCATACTTGTCTCCAATAAGGCCTGGTGAAGAACATTGCCACAAGGAAAATAGAGCCACAGCATGGTCAGAGATGTTTAGTCTCTCCGATTGAGTCACAGAACAAGGCACAGTCAAACTTGGCCTATCTTCTTCTTGAGCCAGAATAAGCTCCGCATTTGTGAGCTGTGTTGCTGGTGTCTTCTTTGTTTCCAGGAATCCAGGAATATGCTTACTTTTGAAAACACCAAATTTACTAAAGGTATAATTCTTTTAAAAGGATAGTGTGGAGGAGTAGAAATCACACCCCACTAACATATCAGAGAACTAGGTTCCATCCAAGAGAATGAGAAATAGTTTCATATTTAGTCTAGTTTGCTGAGTTGAGAAAGACTCTCAAGTCAGGACCAAGGTAATTAGGAAAGAGCACCCAGGTAAAGCAGCAATGTCTACCATGGGCATAGGATGGGAGAATGGTGGTATATACCATATATTTACCAACCTTATTCTAGTCCTTCTCCCTTCCTCCATCTATTCACTTTATGACTTTGGGTAAGTGATTCAGCTTCTTATTGCCTTTATACTAAAATGGGGATAATGACACCTTATTTGTCGAAAGGCAGAGAGGGGCTAGACCAGCTGATCTCTTCAAGTATTTTTCAGCTACGAGGTTTAAGATTCTATTTTCCACTGTAGATTGTAGCACAGGCTGGGCTTTAATAGGGTTATTCACTGGTGACCTTATATGGCTTTTAAAAGGGCAACCCCAATTTTTAAGTGATTTTAAACGAGTCAAAGAGATAAACACTATTTCAATTCTTTCTTCATATCTGAAGAACACTGAGGAAGTTGTTAAATGGCTAAGTTAATTACAGCCTGTGATCCCTAGTGGGATCAGAGAAAATTATTTAGGAAAATATAGGAATGTAGGGCAGCATTCTAAATACCTCTGCAGATCTAGAGTCTTCAGGAAATAACACTGTGAGGAAATAAATTAGTTAAGTTCACTATAGCCTTGCCTTGAGAAGAAACAGAGACGGTGTTTCCTCTAAGTGTTCAATGAAGAACACTTCTCAATGCTTTCAATATCCACCCCATAAATACAAAATAGGCTCAGACTTGCTTAGTACAGATCTATGGCTTACCTGGGGTCACAGAGAAATTTGGTTTTCTCTCCTTCTTCTCTCCAGATAAGCCATTCTCGAAAAGAAGGATGTACAAACATACGAGTCATGTCTCTGCGCTTGATTAGAAACATGGAGAGGTTTTCCATTCTCTGCTGAAAATCCTCCCATTCTAGTGTGCCTTCAATGCTACCAGCATTGATGGCCTGGAAGATATGTTCATCAGTCAGTGGGTGGAGAGAGGCCACTGCCACATTCAGGAGAGGCATCACCCGGTCAAAGGAAGACTGGGTTGGGAACTTCATATTGCACTGGAGTAAATAAACCTCAGAAAGTGAAACAGGAACTACTTTGTAGCTAGAGCTCTTTAATACTAGATAGCCTTTCTCTATGAGGTCAAATGTGAGTTTCAGGTATAGATAGGACCCTTGACTAAGGGTCTTGAGATGAGAACTGAGTTTGCCAAATGTAGTGTTGTCCATTTTGCCATTAAGTGAAATGTTATTCTGGATCTCTGAGCTGCTGTGTATCCGGTGCAGGATATAAGCCTGCAGGTCCTGGTCTATGGCTTCATTCTCTTCTAGTCGATCCAAAAAAATCCTATGGAAAGGCAGCAGCTTGGTAATTTCCTAAAATAGATGGAGAGAGAGACAGAAAGACCTTCAGTTTCCCCTAACTCTTGTGATAAACTATGAGGTCCACAAATTTATCCTGAACTTCTGAGTGGCCAAAGAGGGAAACATGATCAAGTATTATTATCCATAGGTTAAAACAAATTAGTTATGCAGGAGGAATACAATTTTTCCTAATATTGAGACTTGAGATAATTATAAGATAAATTTTTATGGGTTTTCATAAAGGGGAATTTAGGAGTGATTTTCTGGGCAATATTCTAAACATACTCCTAAATAAGTAGAAATTGGTATGCATATAACTCTTTTGTTGTAATCTTTCTCAGTGTAAGCCATGGCATAATGTCAAAGTACAATTTAATAAGAGAAATGTATAAGAACTCAAAGAATGCCATATAAAAACACAGCTTTCTAAGCCTCCTAATAAAATCACTGCATTTAAACATAGGTGTTCTGGAGGTGCCTTAGTCCAAGGGAACATTTCTAACGTTCTAGAGGAAGCATGGTAACTTGGTGGCCTGTTTGAAAATTTTATTGAGGGAGGGTGATAGGGCTTTGTTGTGACTCTTATGCACTGGATTCCATCCTTTCTTATCTACTTATGGACCCTGCTCCTGTAAGTAAGCTACTCTCTCCTTAAACATAGACCACATAGACATATGACCCCATATTCCTCTCTCTACCTACTCCTCTATTTTTCTGTTTCCATTCTCAGCAAAAATCCACAGAAAAGTTTACTTGCTGTCTCTCATTCTGCCTTTCCCATTCTCTCCTCAATTTGTTCCTATCAGGCTTTCAACCCTACCACTTCATTGAAATGATTCTTGTCAAGATTATCAATAATTTTCACCTTGCCAAATCCAATAATTAAGTTTCAGTTCTCATCTTAACCTCTCAGCAGTATCTGACACAGCTGATCACACTTTTCTTCTTGAATCACTTTCTGCAGCTTGTTTCCCTGGGTAGCATTCTCCCCTCGCTTTGCTCTTCCCACAATGGCCGTTTCTACCCAGACTTTTTTGCTGACTCCTCTTTCATTTCCCAGACCACCCACGGCTCAGGTCTTCATTCTTTTCTCTTCTCTAGTCACCCTCCTTCCCTAGAACATTTTATTTAGTCCCGTGGTTTTAAATATCATCTACATGCTGATGATGCCTAACTTTGTTTCTAGCTTAGTCATCTCCCGAGTTTCCATCTTAAATATCTTTGTCTACTCAACATTTACACTTGATGTTTCATAGGCAAACTTAATGTGACCAAATCGGGGCAACTGAATTCTGCCCCCATCACAAAACCTTCCCTATGTCAATAAACGGCATTACCATCAACCCTACCACCAAATCCTAGGAAGTATCTCTGATTTTTCTCTTCAAACCAGTATTTACCCAGTTGCTCACCAAAACCTTAGGACTCATTCTTGAATTTTCTTGCTCGCTCACACCAACACTCAATCCATCATCAAGTCCTTCTGAGTCTCCTTCAAAATATAATGCAAATATGACTATATCACATAGCCTCCACCATTACCACTCTAGTCTAAGCCATCATTACCTGTCACTTCTGCAACAACCTCTTACCTATCTCTACTTTCATTCTTGATCTCCTACATTTTATTATCTGCACAACAGCCAAAGAGATCTTTTAAAAAGATAAATCAGATTTCATCCTTTTTAAGACTCCTATCTAAAATAACTACCACCCCTATTTATCCCTGTATCCTGTTTTATTTTTCTTCATACCATTTAACACTACCTGAAATTTTAGTATATGTTTGTTTTCACTTATTTATTGTTTGTGTTCCTCACTAGAATATAAGCTCTATGAGGGCGGGGTCATTGTCTGTCTTGTTCATTGTTGTATCTCCAGCACCTAAAGCAGTGACTGACACACTCTAAGTGCTTAAGAAATATTTGTGGAAATAATGAATGATTGAATATGAGGGTTCATTTTTTAAAACCGATGAACTATTTCACTGTTAGAGCAGAATGAAAAAAAATTTTAAATTCTTGGTTGAAGTGAATGAAGTATGTGGGAAGTTATTGCAGATCTTGATGCATGAAATTTAGACTTTGTAGGTTAATATATACGGTACTTTTTCTGTTCTTTGACATAGCTGAAAAATTAAAATCATCTGCTCTACCCAGTCATACTTAAAAGTTCTCTTGAGACTGCACATGGCATTATGTAAAACTATGTATGAAGATAACATATAAGCATCCATTTGGACTTATAATTAGTCAGAGATCATATTCCTGGAGGTTTCTTCTATTTATTGTTCATTTTTGACAATCAAGTTACTTATAATGGTAAATTATATAATTTTTCATTGTAAAGATGCATGTATGTTGAATTTATCTACATTCTTGATCTCAAATTACTTTGAGATTAATGACAAACATCTGCAAGGTGGCAGCTAGGATTAGAAGTATAGTTTTTGATCATGGAAGGCAGTAAAGCTAATTAGTTAACATATAGGAGTAATACTAGATGTCCAGGAGAGGGGGAAAAAAGTAGTTAAGACTATTTTCTGTGCATTAGCAGTTGTTATTGTGGACTACATCAAAATAGTGGGAGGGGTTCATAATCCAGGCAATTTTAATGTTCATTAAAAGAGGCGATGGTTTTAAAAAAAAGGTGAGAATCACTGTTCTAAACCATGTGTGAATATGTAAGTGAGAGATGCTTACTTGGCTACAGTGAGAATGGTGGGGAGGTGAAGTCACTTACCCTTAGCCCATACACCTGTACAAGCTCAGTTCTACATTTCTGGTCCTTCTTCTATGCCACTAAGTGATCAGTGACTGAACAGGGAAGATGATTTAAAATAAAACTTATCTCTCGGTTGTAGAAAATTTAACATAACAGCCCAACCTATTGCCATTGAGTTGATTCTGACTCAAAACGATCCTACAGGACAGAGTAGAACTGCCCCAAAGGGTTTCTAAGGCTGTAAATCTTTATGGAAGAGAATCGCCACATCTTTCTCCCGTAGACTGGCTGGTGGGTTTAAGCCGCTGACCTTTCAGTTAGCAGGTGAGCGCTTTAGCCACTGTGCCACCAGGGCATCTTAAAATTTAATATAAAGCCCTAGTACTGGCAATAACTTTTAGAGGAAGGCATACACAGAAGGGAGTCCACCTTCATGCTACAGAAAAGTTGTCCAAGTAGAAGCAAGGGGAGAAACCAGAAAATGTGACTCTAGATTATAGACTGAACTGAATTTTGCATAGCAATAAATGATAAAAAAAAAAAAAAAAAAAACTGAAACAAAAGTCAAACAGTAAATTAGAGTGTTAGGGACTCTCTTTGCGCTGCTGTCTTCAAGACAAAGTCTTGAAAAACGGACTTTCTATTCATGTTATTTTTGAGGGACACTTTGTCAAAATTTACCCAGAACAATGGGAATGGGAATCTGAGGTAAGAGAGCTATATACAGAGAACATGCTATCTAGGTCAAATCTCTTATTCTCAAAATAAGCTCTTTAGAAATTATTCTCACCAATGCTCAAGGACATTGTAGAGGTTTAGAAAGAGACATTGTCATTAAGGGAACTAGGATCTAGAACTTTTTCAGGTTAAGCCCTCTCCAAGGGAAATAATTTATGGTACAAAACCAAACACATACCTGTAAACTGGTCCTAACCGTTACAATTAGTTTGAGCCAAGAAGGAAATTTTCCAATCATTTTACTCAGAAATGATACAATTGTATCCCCATAATCCGGTTTGTGAAATTCTGCTTCATTTAATCCATCAATTAAGATGATGAAATCTTCATCTGGGATTTTTCTCTCTGAGATGGAAAGAAATAAATTACTTAATAATTACCAAGTGGATAAGTGAGTTCTTAGTGAGTCTTTGAGTACATATCTGTTTGGGGGAAAAAAAAATTAGAAAAGGCCTCTCTTACATGTTTTTACGAAAGTTGGGGCACACAATTTATTATAAAGACATGGAAAAATTCATTTAATGAATTCATCTTGTTTTTCACCAGATGTGAAAGCTTTTCTTACATATATAATATGCTTTGTATACATCATTTTCAGGAGTTTCACGTTGATTATCAATTGTGAGACAGCCTCAGCATTGGAGTTATGGAATTTGTACATGGAAATTCATTTTTCTCTTATACATGAAAAAGCTGAAGAGAAGACGTTCTCTTTCTCTCTTTTTAAACCTGATTAGCATTGAAAAGAATAGTATCACATGTGTCTTTGAGAATTTCCAAAAGAGGTCTAATTTGAAGTCCAATGCAGTAATAGGACTACATGTAAATGTGTACTGGGAAGGAAGGGATGGCTAGATTCCAAGAGCCTACAGAAGAAGCAGCTTCGCAGACTAAACCTACAAGTAGTCTCAATGTGACCAGACTCCTGCTGATCTTCCCAGTGGAAGAGGAGTCATGTGAGAGAGACAAATATCTGCTACTTTTGTGTCCAGTTCCCTCCCTGTCTCCACACTACCCTACATTGACAAAATCAGTTTACCTTTAGGGCTAGGCTGAAGAGGAAGTTTTGGTGAGATTTCAGGCTTCCACTCTTACTAAATGCTTACTGATTGTTTAACTACATTTAACAATTAGAGAAGAAAACTCCCAGGGTGAATTAACATTTTAGCAGGAATGAATTGAGTAACAAGTCAAAGTTACTAGTTATTAGGACCTTACATGTTCTGATGCGGGGAAAACAGCGGAAGAGCACAAGAAATCATTGCATGCCTGAAGTGAGAAGTAGGTTATATCTGAAGAGGAAAGAGAAGATGAAGCTAGGGACTTCTGTCCAAGACTGGCCCTTTCAGCCTTTAAAAAGAATCAAGATCAATTGAAACGGTATATGATGTTTTAGTTTCACACTTGAAAACACACAGATCTTTTTCGCGTGATTAATGAGGCTTTTTATCTTTCCCCTGAAGTACAAGCATTGTATAAAGGAACTTAATTTCAAAATCCTGAGTACTATATGTCAGTTCTCAAATTATGAAGAATTTTAACGATTACTTTATACCTGGTAACTTTTGTTTAAATTGTGCTTTAGGTGAAAGTTTACAGCTCAAGTTAGTTTCTCACACAAAAACGTATACACACACAGTTATGTGACCCCAGTTGCTATTCCTATAATGTGACTGCACACTCTTCCTTTCCAACCCGGATTTCTCGTGTCCATTCAACCAGCTCCTATCGCTTTCTACCTTCTCCTCTCGCCTGTGGACAGGAGCTGTCCAATTAGTCTCGTGTATCTACTTGAACTAAGAAGCACACTCTTCACTAGTATCATTTTATGTCTTATAGACCAGTCTAATCTTTGTCAGAAGAGTTGGCTTCGGGAATGGTTTTAGTTCTGGGTTAACAGAGAGTCCGGGGGCCATGTCTTCTGGGGTTCCTCCAGTCTCAGTCAGACCATTAAGACCGGTCATTTTACTAGAATTTGAGTTCTGCACCCTACTTTTCTCCTGCTCCGTCAGGGACTCTCTGTTGTGTTCCCTGTCAGGGAGGTCATTGGTGGTAGCCAGGCACCATCTAGTTCTTCTAGTCTTAGGCTGATGGAGTGTCTGGTTTATGTGGCCCCTTTTGTCTCTTGGGCTACTACTTTCCTTGTGTCTTTGGTGTTCATTCTCCTTTGCTCCAGGGGAGTTGGGACCAATTGATGCATCTTAGATGGCCGATCACTAGCTTTTAAGACCCCAAACGCCACTCATCAAAGTGAGATGTAGAACATTTTCTTAATAAACTTTGTTATGCCAATTGACCTAGATGTCCTCTAAAACCATGGTCTCCAGACCCCTACCTCTGCTACGCTGTCCCTCAAAATGTTTGGTTGTGTTCAGGAAACTTCTTAGCTTTTGGTTTAGTCCAGTTGTGATGACTTCCCCTGTAGTGTGGGTTGTCCTTCCCTTCACCTAAGATAATTGTTATCTACTATCTAGTTAGTGAATACCCCTCTCCTTCCCACCCCACTCTCATAACCATCAAAGGATGTTTTCTTCTGTATTTAAACCTTTTCTTGAGTTCTTATGATAGTGGTCTTATACAATATTTGTCCTTATGCAATTGACTAATTTCACTCAGCATAATGCCTTCCAGATTCATCTGTGTTATGAGATGCTTCGTGGATTCATCATTCTTTATTGTTGCTAGTATTCTATTGTGTGAATATACCACAATTGTTTATCTAGTCATCTGCTGATGGGCACCTAGGTTGTTTCCATCTTTTTTGCCATTGTGAACAGTGCTGCAATGAACATGGGTGTGCATATTATCTATTCGTGTGATGGCTCTTATTTCTCTAGGATATATTCCAAGGAGTGGGATTGCTGGATTGTATGGTACTTCTATTTCTAGCTTTTTAAGGAAGTGCCAAATCGATTTCCAAAGTGGCTGTATGTACCATTTTACATTATCACCAGTAGTGTGTAAGTGTTCCAGTCTATTATTTTGTATTTTTTGGATTAACGCTAGCGTTGTTGGGGTGAGATGGTATCTCATTGTAGTTTTGATTCGCATTTCTCTAAAGGCTAATGATTGTGAGCATTTCTTCACGTGTCTGTTAGCCACCTGAATGTCTTCCTTGGTGAAGCACCTGCTCATATCCTTTGCCCATTTTTTAACTGGGTTATTTGTCTTTTTGTGGCTGAAGTTTTGCAGTATCTTGTAGATTTTAGAGATTAGAGCCTGATCGGATATGTTGTAGCCAAAAATTTTTTCCCAGTCTGTAGGTTGTCTTTTTATTCTTTTGGTGAAGTCTTCTGATGAGCATAAGTGTTTGATTTTTAGGAACTCCCAGTTATCTAGTTTCTCTTCTGGTGTTTGTGCCTTGTTAGTAATGTTTTGTATTCTATTCATGCCATGTATTAGGGCTCCTAGCATTGTCCCTATTTTTTTTCCTATGATCTTTATTGTTTTAGATTTTATATTTAGGTCTTTGATCCATTTTGAGCTAGTTTTTGTGCATGCTGTGAGGTATGGGTCTTGTTTCATATTTTTGCAGATGGATACCCAGTTATGCCAGCACCATTTGTTAAAGGGACTGTCTTTTCTCCATTTAACAGGCTTTGGGCCTTTGTCAAATATCAGCTGCTCACAGTTGGATGAATTTACGTCTGGATTCTCAACTCTGTTCCTTTGGTCTATGTGTTGTTGTTGTACCAGTATACACCCTGGTAACTTTTCAGGAAGAGATATGAACTATGGATTCCAGCTCTATTAACAGTGATTATTAATAAAACAGCATTCTAGATGATGAAGCACTAAGAAAACACAATATTCCTTTAGTAGTCAAAAGAATTACGGAAGAGAAAGGGTTACTACTTCTTATTTTGCCATATGTTGTAGTTGTTGATAGGTGCCATCAAGTCAGTTGTGACTCATAGCGACCCTATGTACAACAGAACGAAACATAGCCTGGTCCTGCGCCATCCTCACAATCGTTGCTATGTTTGAGCCCAATGTTGCAGCCACTGTGTCAATCCATCTCGTTGAGGGTTTTCCTGTTTTTCTGCTGACCCTCTACTTTACCAAGCATGATGTCCTTCTCCAGGGACTGGTCCCTCCTGATAACATGTCCAAAGGATGTAAGATGAAGTCTTGCTATCTTTGCTTCTAAGGAGCATTCTGGCTGTACTTCTTCCAAAACACATTTGTTTGTTCCTCTGGCAGGTCGCGGTGTACTCAATATTCTTCGCCAACATGATAATTCAAAGGCATCAATTCTTCTTCAGTCTTCCTTATTCATTGCCCAGCTTTCACTTGCATACGAGGTGACTGAAAATACCATGGCTTGGGTCAGGCGCACCTTAGTTCTCAAGGTGACACCTTTGCTTTTTAACACTTTAAAGAAGTCTTTTGCAGCAGATTTACCCAATGCAATACGTTTCAGAACCCTTAACTGTACTCATGTGGAACCTGTACATAGACCAAGAGGCAGTTAGAACAAGGGGATACTGTGTGGTTTTAAATCAGGAAGAGTGTGCCTCAGGGTTGTATTGTTTCACCATACTTATTCAATCTCTATGCTGAGCAAATAATCCAAGAAGCTGGACTACATGAAGAAGAAAGGGGCATCAGGATTGGAGGAAGATTCATTAACAACCTGTGATATGCAGATGACACGACCTTGCTTGCTGAATGCAAAGAGGACTTGAAGCACTTACTGATGAAGATCAAAAATAAAGCCTTCAGTATGGATGACACCTCAACATAAAGAAAACAAAAATCCTCACAACTGGACCAATAAGCAACATCATGATAAATGGAGAAAATACTGAAGTTGTCAAGGATTTCATTTTTCTTGGATCCATAATCAACAGCAGTCAAGAAATTCTGCCATGTAAGAACATTTAAAACACATCTATTATTCACTGTCACCATTATTTCAAAAATAAAGACTATTTTAATATTAAAAGGTAGGAGGATCATAATCTATCTAACCTTTGTTGTTGTTAGTTGCGACTGAGTTGATTCTGGCTCATGGCGACCCCATGTGTACAGAGTAGAACTACGCCACAGGGTTTTCAAGGCTGTAACCTTTTGAAGCATATCGCCAGGCCTGTCTCCTAAGGAGCCTCTGGTTGGGATCAAACCACCAACCTTTAGGCTAGTGGTAGAGTGCTTAATCATTTGTGCCATCCAGGGACTCCATTTAACCTTTACATACACAGTAAAACCTGCGATAGCCAGAACCTGTGTCAAATGGCAACTTGTTAGAGAAGGAACTCAAATATTTTCCACTAAAATGAGCAATAGGAAAGTGTTAAGACTGCACCCTGTCAAAGGCAGGAAACTTGTGAGACCCGGAAAAACAAGGCAGTCCTGTCGAGTTTTGGCTCTCACAGGCTTCACTGTATATATATGTACAACTATGTTATGGACTGAATTGTGTCCCCCTAAAATATGTGTTAAAAATCCTAACCCGTATGCCTATCGATGTAATCCCATTTGGAATAGGATTTTCTTTGTTATGTTAATGAGGCTGTATCAGTATAGGGTATATTTTAAACCAATCGTTTTTGATACATAAAAGGAGCAGATTAGGCATAGAAGCAAGGAAACACAAATGGGGGGAAAGACTGACGCTACACCTGTATCACCAAGAAACTGAGGAAGAGAAGCTGAAAGAGACAAGGATTTCCCTTAGGGGACACAAAGAGAGCCTTCCCCTAAAGCCAGTTCCTTGAATTTGGACTTCTAGCCTCCTAAACTGTGAGAAAATGAATTTCTGTTCTTTAAAGCCACCCATTTGGTGGTATTTCTGTTACAGCAGCACTAAGAAACTAAGAGAAACTACATCTACCTCTACATCCACACGAATTCCAAGCTGTTTGCATTTTCTTATTTAGCAGTGAATTAACGAAAACTTTAAATGGACTGATGCTTAGGATCCACTGCTCTAGCTGACAAGACACTGAAAAGATTTTCCAGTACTTTTCACTCTTGCTTTTAATCACCTTTAATCTGGTGTAAACATATATTTACCAAAGGTCTTCACTTCTTGTATGTGTACTTAACAAATACTTGAAGTTCAATGTACAAGAGTTCCAGTTGTTTATCATCCTCACTAACATTTTATGCTGTCAGTCTTTTTAACTATTCTAGCAGGAGTAGAGTGGTGTTTAATTGTGATTTTGGTTTGCATTTTCTTGATGACTAATGATATTAAACACCTTTTCATGTGCTTGTAGGCTATTCTTATATCTTCTTTTGTGAAGTGTCTAAATCTTTTGTCCATTTAAAAATTAGATTGTTTATCTTTTCATTATTAATTTGTAGTTCTTCAGATATTGTGCATAAGTGCTTTGTCAGACACACACACACACAAAGTAAGTATTTTCTCCCCTTTTGTGACTTGCTTTTCTGCTTTCTTACTGGTATTTTTGGTTCAGCAGACATTTTTAATTTTGATGAAGCCTAGTGTATAAATTCTCTCTAATATGATTAGTAATTTTTATGTCTTCTCTAAGAAATCTTTACCTACCTGAATGCTGTGAAGATATTCTACGCTTTTTTTCCTTCTATTAATTTTAGAGTTTTAGCTTTTATATTTATGCTTGTGATCCATCTCAAATTAATTTTTGTGCATGGTGTGAAGAGGAGATTGAGGTTAATTTTTCCTCCGGTATATTTATCTAGTTGTTCCAGTACCAGGTAATGAGAAGAATTCTCTTGGCATCTTTAAAGAAGATCAATTGATTGCATATGTGTGGGTCTATTTCTGGCTTTTCCATTCTGTTCCATTGCTCTATTTGTCTATCCTTGCGTGAATACCACCCTGTCAGTGGAGTGCCAGAATTGGTTCAAACTGACTTCTGAAAGCTGATTGTTAAATTTTCATGAATCAAATCAGCCTCTCTCCCCCCTGAACTGGTTGTTAAACATTTACTAGCATATCACTGCCTGTCATGATTACTATAGCTTTATATTATCTTAAAATCAGGTACTTTAGGTCTTGAAACTTTCTTCCTTTTCAAGACTGTTTTGGCTATTCTTGGTCCTTTGAATTTCTAAAATTTGTCAATTTCTATAAAAATCCTGTTGAAATTCTAATTTGGATTACGTTGAATCTATAGATCAGTTTTGGGAAAAACTAACATCTTACTAATATTGAGTTTTCCAATTTACAAACATGGCGTATCTTTCTATTTATTTAGGTCTTCTTTAATTTCACTCTGCAATGTTTGTAACGTTCACTGTGGAGGTCTTATACGTTTTTTGTTAAATTTTCCCTTAAGTATTACATGTTTTTTGATGGTACTGAAAATGGTATTTGTTCCAGTTATCTAACGCTGCGTCAAACAGTTAGGGGCAGGTGGATCAGCAGGTATTTCATGAACGAGATAGCATTTTAAACTGGTCCTTAAAAGACAGGCAGAATTCTGACAGGCAGAGATGTGAGGAGAAGGCATATCAGGAAAAGGAAACAATGAGTAACTGTATGGAAGCAGGAAAATGTAAAGGAATGTTTAAGGGCTAGTGAATACCTCAGTTTGCACGTAAACCCAGGGTTCACAGAGGGTAAAAGGGTAATAAGGCTGGAAGGTAGGTTGGATTCAGACCATCAAGCACCTTGAATGCTAGACTAAGGAGCTGGAATTTAATTCAGTAGGCAATATTGGAGATTTTTTAACAGAGCAATGCTTTAAGAAGATTTATCTGTAAGTAGTAAACAAAATCCTGACGACTGGATAGACTGGGTCCAGGTGTACTATGAATGGGTTAAAGGTGTGCTTAAAAATGAATGTTTCAGCCCTTAGGGTATCTGCACTTGGCATAGCTACAGGCTCAGGGCTGATCATGTCCAGTCATGAGGAGTCTTGATTATTTATCCTAGTGTGCTATACAGACTTTCATAATTTTCTAAGTATGTTATGATGTGGGACAAGCACTAAATTAGAGAACCGGACAAGACCAGAAGTGGGAATAATACCGATGTGAGGTCATGGGCAGCTGAACAGCTCTTGGGGTGACAATAGTAGAAATGAAATTTGAGATGAACAGATGTGAAAAGCATCAGGAAGGCAGAATTAATGGGATTTAGAGATTGATTGAATGTATAGAAAATATGCTTAAAAATATTTGTGGAGAAATTCCAAGGTTTAAAAAGGCCATAGCATGGTCAAGCTAAGAGGTAGCAGACGGAGAAACAGAGGTAATCAAATTTGAGAGGAAAAAGAAACTGTGATATTCAAGTAACAACCATGGAGCTTGAAATCACTGATGATGGTAGCCAGGAGGCCAGACATTATAATTATTTTTTTCTTACAAGTACCTCTGAAATCCTTGAGAAAGGCAAGTTAAGTCTCTCAGGAATAAGCAAGATTGCTCAGGAATCTCCTGCTTACTCAAATCCTTTCTTTGGCTTCCAGCATTGACAAAACCTAGTTAAGGAAATGGGGTAGGGAGACTGATAAAGGCATATACCATCTTTGAAGAGGTGGTTGCACTTAGGCCACATCCACTACTGGAGATGCAGAGAAGAAAGGGAAGAAAGGAAAGAGCATGAGAGGGACATGGATAAAATTTTATTTTTCCCCCACTTTTAAAAAATAACAGATTTATTGAGATACAATTTATTTACCATAAAATTCACCCTTTTAAAGTATATAATTTAGTGGTTTTCAGTGTATGTAAGAGTTGTGCAACCATGGATGCCATTTCATTTTACTTAAACTGATAGAGTAATAGAAAATATCAAACATAAAGACTAGAGAGATTTCTAATCATAGACATCCACAACACTGAGTGGTAAGCTACACCTTTACTAATTTATTTGAATTCCAGAGAAAGGACTGGAAGCTCTACTATCTTTAGTATAAGAAAAATGTATTTGGAAATCCAAATGAGAATATTTATAAAGAAAGGAGAATCAGTAGTTTCTGCAGGAATTTGTTCTTTTTCAAGTAAAATCTTCTTTTATCTGTTAACTGTCCAGTACCTCAGTCATGGAACATTTAGTTAGGCAATGTGATAAAAAGATTAATTTCTATAGCATGTCCCATGTGACCCTGAGCTCCAAAATCCCCACCTTTCACCCACTTTGCACCTCATCTGTACCTTGGTGGAGACTCTCCAGGGGCTCCAGGACTCCCCTCCGGAAGGAGGCCATGGGATCTTGAACACAGGACCGAAGGCTCAGCATGCCCTGTAGGTGAGGTTCTCGAAGAAGCTGCTCCCGATAGGCTGTCAGCTGAGGTGAGCGGCAGAGCAGGGCAGCAACATTGTGTACAAATTCTGGCACTAGGCAGGTGTAGGCATTATCTGCTTGGCAATAGTGATAGGCAACCACCTCCAAAAGAAAGATGAGAATGCAAACAGACTTACGAGCAGCAAGAGCAGTAACTGTGGTTATTATATGATCATTCTCTAATACTGTCTTCTGTCTCCCCATTCCTCAAGAATTCTTTTTCAAGTAAAACTAAAAGTTGTCAACTCAGAAACTGCTTAATTCATGTAAGATTGGAAATGTGATACAATTTTTCTATTATATACATCAACTATAATAATCCACAATTAAAATTTACAAGTAAAAACAATTGAGCTTTCTCTATATATTATTCTTTAGATAGACTGGTCACTGCTTTATTATTTATTTTAAGCACGACTTAAGTAACTTGATGGAGCCCTGGTGGTGCAGCAGTTAAGAGCTCAGCTGCCAACCAAAAGGTCAGCAGTTTGAATCCACCAGCCACTCCCTGGAAACCCTGTGGGGCAGTTCTACTCTGTCCTACAGGGTCACTATGAGTCGGAATTAACTCAACGGCAATGGGTTTAAGTAACCTAAAGAGAAAACTTGGCAGCAATTGATCTGTTCTCTCAGTGAACAGTGAATGTCAATGGTTATGTCCACATGGACACAAATCTCTACTTTAAAAAAAGCAAACAGCAAACCTCTGAATCAATATGAACTTTTCATCATATTTCATCTCAGTCGATTCCACATGTCAAGGCTAAGCACAACTGAACAAATCAGCTGCAATTTACTCTTTACCTAAAGTAATGGGATATCAGTTGGAAGATAAAAATTCTGAAATATTGAAAGGGGTTCTGTTACTCATTTCATTAGAAATCATCTGTGCTTTTGACTAAATGATGTTTCACCTAACAAAGGTCAATGCTAAAGCTGCACCTTCTGTGGCTACTTCTCTTTCTTTTACTTTTAAACACTTCTTCAGCATTCCAAATATAAAGTCTCCACTCCTTTGCAGAATCCAGGCAGAAAAACCACTCAACATCTTCATAAGATATACAGTGTGGCTCAAAATTAGTTATTTACTAGATATTTCAAGGTATCTATTATATGTGTATGTATGCATAATCTGTCAAAAGTATTTGATATTTCCCTATGAACTGTCTACTGACATTATCTACAACTTTTCCTATGAATAAAAATAGGAAATAAGCATGGGAATGTGGATTTTTCTTCAGTTTCTCATTGTACCAGTTCTCAGTGGAAGATATTAGATCACTCCCTACCACTTTGAGGAAGCTATCATGGCCATCCGTACTTAGTCACTATTATTACAACCTCTTGGAAATGGTTCATAATTATTCCACCCCCAGTAAATCAGCAGATAAAACCTTTCTCCTTGGTGAATTCTGGCTTCTCAAAATGACTTGTCTAAATCTCATTTTCAGCTATGTATTAGTTATATTAATACATTTTCCTATCTCAAGTTTTCCTTATGTTAAATCCCTGAAGTTTTTATTTATTTATTTATTACTGTACTTCAGGTGAAGGTTTACAGAACAAATAGTTTCTCATGAAACAGTAGTACACATATTGTTTTATGACAATGGTTAACAACCCCACGACATGTCAACCCTCTCCCTTCTCGACTTTTTTTTTTTTTGGTGAAAATATACATAGCCAAAGATACATCCATTTCAAAAATTTCTACATGCACAGTTCAGTGACATCGACTACGCTCTTCTAATCGTGCTGCTATTCTCACTTTAGATGAAGGTTTACAGAACAAAATAGTTTCTCATTAAACAGTACACATGTTGCCCTATGACAATGGTTAACAACCT